ACCAAATTCGGTGATGACATGATGACAAGGTTTGCAATGGTTTTTGCAGCAGTCACATGCACTAATATATTTATAAGAACCAATTAGCATGACGTAACCTTTTGAAATTTTTGTGTAAAAGAAGGTAAAAAGCAATAGGTGTGCTCGATTTATCCCTGAAGTCCTAGAATTTTGTACCACTTTTCAAGTTCGTTCCTTCTGTGTACAGCGTGTTTAGCACAGTCGTTACGGTGCCCAACCGTACACACTGGATTGATCGCTGGCTCAATCTCGAACCCTAGGTTGAGGAAGCCCTTCCACTCTATGTGATCAACAAATTGTACCCGTGCCAGATTTTCTTTGAGAGAATTACAGTACTGGTTTGAGATATCTATAGGTCACTGCAAGTCGTTGTATAGCACAGATATGCCTTCAGTCATCTCTACAACGCCACAAATAATGTCGAATGCATAGCGCATTCCTGGTCAATGCTCAGCTTTTTATCTTTTTTCCTTTATTTCAGTCTCATTCTGTGCAGCAGTGGAGGAGTAAACAGTCTCACGGTAAACATTCTGTACTGAAAGGTGTAGCCTTCTACACTCTAAATTTGTGATTTTTCTAACACTAGATGTGGATCAACAGACGGTCGTACAACTACTGACGCAAAAGATAGACAAGCTTGTTTTTGCTTGTCGTCTTATAAGTCATAAAACATTTTCAAAATTTGTAAATAGGTAGTAAGAATGATGGTATAAAAAGAGCATATCACTGGGAAGGGGCGCTTGTTGCGAAGTGGTCTAAGGCGTCCTGTAACACACACGTAGGAGTCGATCCGCGCGCCCATGACCTTTCATCACTCTGGGGTCGACAAATCGGCACCAGACTTGTTTGGGAGGATAGGAAAACTGGCAAGATACATCGGCAGGCCACGGCGAGTTATTGTAAAAGTCAGATGTGAACTCAATCACCTCCAAACGATGCTTAACTAGGTTGAATGCATGGCGCATCCCTCAAGGATTCATCAACGCCCAGAGCTTAACCCTTTTATGCTTTATCACTGGGATCTATCGAATCTCCATTAGAAAAACTTTGATTTTTGAACGGAGATTTGCTACGGTCCTGCCTAGGACTGGTCAAAAAAGATGTTTATCCCATGTGAGAAAATAAAATAAAAATAAAAAGTAAATGAAGTAAATAAAAAGTCGATGTTTCTTGTTAAATTCGTGCAACAATAAGTGTACCTTCGAGACAACAGTTTTCAATTTTTGTGACCAGGTTCTAAAATAAATCATAGTGGTAATAGGTTGTACTCAATAACTGGATTAAAATAGAACTTGATTATTACAAATCCAACTAACTAAGATCTAATCTAATTAGAATCTACTCATTCTTGCCAGCAAGAAGACTTTACTTACTTCGGTAGAGTTGAATGTCAACGCTGCAAAAGGGATCCTATACAAGGGCATTTGAAGAGCGTCGTTGTGAAGTCTAGTCTGGACTACTTCATTGTAATTGAAACACGACCCACTTTTCGATGCGATCAGAAATGGATTCTTCACGACAAGTGATAGCGCTCAGAATTGTAGTTGGACCAAGATGAAGCTCCAAAACACCGCAAAAGTCCGAAAAGGTTGTGGTGGCTCTGTAATCTATCTATAGAATTATTCATTATAACTTTTTCTATTCTGGTTAAACAAGCAAATAGGTACTATAAAGAATTTAACAAAGAGAAAACTTACTCGAGCCGATACTACTGGTATATTTCAAGGAGTTCCAGGTCGTCGTCCTGCAAGACGATGTCCATGCACATGTCGCACAACTGCTGACGCAGACGTTGAACGGGTTGCGTTCCAAAGCTTTGACTGTGCCACCATACTCATCAGATCTCCTGCTACTGTTAGTCAATCATGAGTTTACTCGGTCATCCCAGCGAACAAATGGCAGGAAATGTCTCCAAATATATGCATACTAAGGAAGCATTACAGGTAACATCCAAGAAACGGCTAGGAACATTCGCAAGACATTAATACCAGACAACGATCACCGTCGTCCGTCGTCGCCACTGTCTCCAAATAGTTTGTCACTTTGAGAGCCGTGAAATTCCGCTCTATAGCGGTGAATAAGTTTATGTATTACTGACAAAAATCTGTAGACTGTTACGCTTTTAACATTAATAAAGCTTATAATAGAGCTGTTTCTAGGGTTTAGCCGTAATGCTTTAAATTCACTCAGAAATCGCCGTTATGTTTGCACTACCCTATATCTTGGAAGTTGAGCTAAGTGAAACAAAACGAGGGAACAGCTGTCACTCGGCGGCCGGCAGCTTATCCCGAGTCGGCGGCTGCGTGTCGCGCTCATTGGGGAGCACGTGACAGTTTCTTTTAAAGTATTTCATTCTCATATTGATGTATGAATAAAGCTCCTCTTTTGCATCCAAAACAAGAAAGTTACTTTGGAAAACTTGCGATCAAACATGTTTACTAACAAAATAATGCACCTTTCAGGATCTAATTCATCGATATATCCCAAAGATTTGAGAAATTTTTGCAATAAAAGATCTGGGTTATTTTATAACCTTGTAAAATTCAGAGGAGCTCATTTTTTGGATCAAAGAGAACCAAGGAAAGCGCGTAAAGGACTATCGATTGATTAAGTTCTTAAAAACTACTCTCTATGAGCTGACATGAGATTACTCACTCGTATGTTACTGGTCTGGATAACTAGCCTTTCGGAGACTTCTCCTTCTTAAGAGTTGTTTCTATTTCGGTTTGCAGCTTCCATTTAGTTTCTCATTAAAACACTAACGTGTACTGACGTACTAACGTAAGTGTTCAACAGTGCTGTGGTGCAAGATGAATAAAGAGGTTTCGTAATTAGCTTGTTCATTAGCACCGCCGTTGGTTAAAAATCGATCCTTCGATTGACATTAGTAGAACGGTACTACAGCCACGTTCATTTGGCCCTTTGTGTAACGAGTGAAACCGTGAGAGCAACTGCAGTACTGTCGAACTACTAAATATCGGGCAACAACTCATGCGTTGTTTTTTAATGAATTGAATGGGCTGCCGCGTTGAGCCAAAGTGCTAAATTTTGGCTCGAAATTTTTCTCTTTAAATTAGCGATGTTTAAACGCCTTGATCTCATCGATACGCTTTCCGATCATGGAAACGATAACGTTGGTTCAGTGCACTTGGCGGGACCAGTAACCTCGTCTTCGTCACTTCCGTCGTTCCAACTACTCGACTTTATCTCTTTTCACTTTCTTCGTTCCATCTTCTTCCGTTCTTTTATGAAAACTGTACAGCTCCTAAATCAGAATTAACGTCCTATTTTCGTGCAGTTCTTTCTTTCATTTTCTTTCTTCCCTTTACAGTTCATGATCGACCAGTACAATGAAAACATTGGGATTGATTTGAAAAAGTTTGAATTCATTTCTAATGTTCTTGTTAATTCCCGCTCCTTAAGCGAAACTATGGTGGAAAACGGTGGAAAACATTACCTGCCTATCTTCTCCTTTCAAGGCCTTAATGTAACAATCCCACTACAGTACCGTGGTTGTGCTTTTGCCTTAAAGTGATAGGCAAGATTCACCTTGATGCGTACTGTTGTTGTTCCTTTACGTTTCACCTTGAGTAACAGCATTGTTTCTCATCTAAAAGAGTATGATCTTCATTCAAATATATTAGTAGTTCAGCAGCAGTACTAGCACCAGTACTGAACTATCGCGCTCTCAGCACCTTGTATTAGTGACCGTATTGTCATTTAGCTCTAAAGAATCGTGAAAACTTGCTGCATTGGCTGTGTTTTCTCTTTTAGAAGAATCGAAAGCAGATTCCCACCCGTTGTTCCACGATAAATAAAATATGGTCAACCATCTATTAATATATTACGAGCACAGTGAGACATATATAACTCAACGGGGTTCTGCGTGAAGCATCATGGACCATGCACTATGAAATATTGCTCATGCTTTCACGTTGTACATAAAGTGCTTGTTTTATACGCTTTTTTCTTTTATCACATTGTAGTCTACACATGACGGTTTATGCAGAAGAGTGAAGAAACAAGGTGAAATGCTAAGTTTCTAAAATGTCCACAAAATTTTTCGCCTTGGGTTTTTGTCGACTTAGTAAATCGGATGAGTGGGTGGGATATTTTGTTCAGCTGGAGGCAATGGGCGCTCGAATTCATGGTTGATAGGGGCTAAATCCCGCACTCGTGTTAGAAAACTTTTTTAGATTGAGGCTTAGATTTTGTTAAACTGACTACTCTTTAGGTAAATCTATACTAGTAGTAACTTTTGTAATGTGTTTGTATAATTTTTCCTATTTCGTTTTTATTCATCGCGAGAAGTCGCCGGTTACATAATAAGGATCTCGAGAACTCGTGACGGACAACAGTTCTGTTATCATTCTACGATTTGACCCGCCTCTTTCATGACACAGTGGCCCGAGATAACAGTTCTCAGTTGACTGCCATCACAAGCACATTGCGGTTACTTTTCCAGTCATTTGTCTAAGTAAACGTCTCTTCACATACAGTATTCAGACGCTATTTCTATGCGAAAAGATGCCAGTGTAACCCATTATTGTTGAATGTTTTAGGAACTATGGAGTCTCAAGTGCGTATGAACTATGCGAAGGATGTTGAAGCGGCTGTTAACAAACAAGTAGGTGGCTTTTGCATTGTTGGTGGGACACTTTCAATCTGTTGTTCTTATATCGCGATGTTCTGCTGTTTATAAATGGAATCCAATATTTTTAACGAGCTTGATTTTTAAACGATAATAAGGTCACCCTGAGCCTTTAGAATGAAAATGAAATATGGCTAGGTGGTTAGTAGCTAGTAGTATCTTCACAGTAGCTATAGGTAACCTTTATGAAGATGGTGTTGGAGGTTAAGCTCCACATTACCTTAAACAGGTGTGCAGTAAGCTGTTTATACTAATAACGGTTGCTGTGAAAATGGAGTTGGTTGTAAATACATTGCAGACCCAGTTATGAAAAGTATTTTAATTCGACATGTTTCAGGTGAACATCGAAATGTACGCTTCGTACGTCTACCTTTCAATGGCAATGTATTTTGATCGTGACGACGTTGCACTTCCTAACGTTTCCAAGTGAGAGCAGTGCAGTAAATTTGTCCCCTTATACTTCAGATTTCTTCTCCATGTGACCCAACGTCAGATATGACGCGTATCCCAACAACTCGTTGATCCTATCCGCTTCCCTCACATCGATAACCCAGGAACAACTTCTGGCTTGCGTATGGCTTTGCCTGTGGAGTGAAGATCTGGTCTTCCTTGTAGGCGTTGTTGAATGATGGTCGGTAGGTCCTGGAATCCTAGGATAATTCTGTTAGGGTGTTCGCAAACCTTTAAGGGCACAGACAGTCCCTAGCCTTTGCGGATCGGAGAGAACTTTCCCAGTCAAATTTGCTAGCGATTACCAGATCCCGTGGAAATAGGAGGCTTGCTTGGCCCGTAAAATACTGCACACTACAGTGCAATATTTCTAATAGCGAATATATTCATGAACTCGCTTGAATTAAGATGTTATATATTAAATCACCTTAACAAGTAAAGCCCGGTGCCGATTTTTCGATAACTGCTGAGATTTTTCGACGACTATAGGAAGAGAAGTAGGGAATTTGACGAACTTATGGATCACCACAGCAGACATATCGAGGACTACTATAGCTTTAATATGTTATTCTTTCTCAAGTTTGCTTAAAACTAAAGTTAAAAAATTGGAAACAAAAGTCAGCCCTGACCTTTTTATTTACTGCCTATTCTTTTTAACGGCAAGGTATTTTTTCTTGCCTTTCTGGTATTTTTGGAAATTAAAAGATACCCTACCGTTAAAAAGAATAGGCAGCAAATAGAAAGGTTAAGATTGTGATTATAACTATAGCCTCAGCTTAACTGGGTTCAATGCCGATTTAGGCTTCCTAAATCAATGTCGTTGATGGGTGATTGCTGATGGCAAAAGATCGATAGAACTAACTGAGAGACAGGCGAAACGAAGGACCTGCATGGTGTGGTGGTGAACACGTTACTCCCAGGAAAGGATGATAGCGCGTTCGTTCCCCACCGCATACACACCTGCGGTCCGGAGTTTTGCAAATATCTCAGCATTATATTAGTTATATTTCACAAAAGTCAGCGTTTTTAACGAAAGCCTGGAACCCGCAACGTTTAACGACGCGTCTGTGGACACCTTCATCTACTGCTGGGGAAAATTTCCCGCTTGTCGAATCCTTGTGCTTTTCGAGATACTAACTTCGAAGAAAAAAGCAAGAAAAATCTTATGAACTCACAAAAACCACAATGTAATGATGGAAAAAGCAAAGGAAACTCGAACCTTGTTGCCAAAGGCTTGCATATTCTACCCTTCATTTGTCAAATGACAAAATTCGTCGTCAGTTGAGATAAATTTCTTCGAAGCCGATTGACGAAATTAGTTTTGGGGACGTATAAATTACAATGACTCAGACCTTGTATGTATGTTGGCGATTTTTTGCTAATGGCTGGTTTCATGTGTACTGATCCCAAGTTTTCTGTCAACAAAAGTGGGACTACATGGTAGTGGGCTATACAAGTTCCTCAGTTCCTCAAAATTAGTGATAATATCCATTAATTTCATATGTATTGATTCGAACTTGCAAGTGATGTTCGGAGGGCAGTGCGTGTTGATTCAAGTGAACTTTCGTCACCTCGTTTCCTTTAACGCAAAAACATCTGCCATATCTCATACCCCAAGTCAATGACTTTCCTATGAGAGATGTCTACCCAATGTGGTGAGACAAAAGCTGTTTTCTACACGTTATAATTTACAAGGGATAACTATTGGGATGAGTTTGTCCATTTTAATGAGTTAAGCGGCGAATTCTTGTGTTTCATGCCAACGGAGTAACGCAAACAGTTCCCAATGAAGCTTCAGTTATTTCTCTGAGGATATTTACGGACCATGCTCACAACGACCGGAGGAGAATTGATCCCAACCCACAGCAAATGAAAATTAGCCGTCGAAATGAATGTGCTAACACAGAATTTCTAAGGAAAAACACTCTTAATAAGTGCTGTATTGGTTGGAAAACAGCATGAGCTATTAAAACAGCAAATTTGTTTCAGATGGTTTCGCAAACAATCGGATGAAGAGCGTGAGCACGCCATCAGATTAATGAAGTTTCAAAACCTTAGGGGTGGAAGTGTGGTACTACAGGCAATAAATAAGCCTGAAAAGGATGAATGGGGATGCGCACTCGACGCTTTCCAGGCAAGATTCTCTGTGCTAATACCACAGATTATTTACAACAACACCAATTTCATAAAAGTGATTACTATCTTTAGATAATCTTAACCGTCTTATTTACTGCCTACTCTTTTTAATGACAGGATATATTGCGAAATATAAGTTCAGTGATGCAGAGATCAATAGAATTAGCCGAGAGACAGCCGAAGCGAATGATCCGCATGGTGTGTTGGTGAACGCGTTGCTCTCCGGAAAGGACAATAGCTCATTCGTTCTCCACCGCAGACACCTGCGGTCCGGAGTTTGGCAAATATCTCAGTATTGTTGAAGTTATATCTTTAGACAGATAACATACAAGAATGAAGGGCATGGAGTAGTAGGGAAAGCTTCGTAAAGAAAAGAGTATACAAGAAAAGAAATATAGCGAATACAAATTATCTATGAACGAAGACGTTAAAGATATGTGTTTCGTCGCTTCAATAATAAGTTTTCTCCTAAAACCTACATATCTACTTCTGCGGTATGGATATCTCTTTTATAACCCAAACTTGCAGAACAGCTTCATTTTCGGAAAGTTTGTACGTTTTATATCGGCGCTCATACGAATGTTTCTCTTCAACTTAATTAGTAGTAAAGTAGTCTTTAGTACATAGTAGTAGTGATATAGTACAGCATAATCGTGCTATATTTGAAGGCAGCTCTAGCTCTCGAGAAGTTCAACAACCAGTCTTTGCTCGACTTACACGCCAAGGCTAGCGCGGCTAACGATCCACACATGAGTGATTTCCTCGAGTCGAAGTTCCTTGATGAGCAGGTGCGTAAATAGCAGTGAAGCAAATACTAAGGACACCATCTAGATCACATTTTGCCAAACACAGTTGAGATAATCTTCCATTTTGGCAACAATCTGAGACGTCGGTGATTTCAAACATCTCTCACGTAACTCGAAAGGCCGACTTTCTATGAACCTCGACATAGATAATTGATATATTTATTTATGTGATCTTATAAACTGATCTTAAGCTGACGCGAGGTTGGTACAGATCTTCGTTGTCGTTGTCGTTGTCGTTGTTTTTGATGTTATTGAACGATGGCTGACGTTTCGGCGACTTCGCCTTCCTCAGAGCCTGGACGAACTTTATGTTAGAATACTTTTTATTATTCGGTGGAAAAGAAGGTTAAAGTATTAATGAAGATCAAACTTTCAAATAGACGCCATATTGAACAGAAAGGCCACTCACCGTGATGTTACGTGCGGGACTGGCCCAAACGTAGTTCACGTGGGGTCGCGAGCAAGACACGCCCAGGGGTCAAAATATCATTTTGAAATAGGGCGCCAGGTCACGCGTGATAGTGAGGCAATCGTCCTTCCGGTTCATCTTTGGATCTTTTAAATTTATCCAAAACGCCTCAGGAGCTTTGCGCGTTGATGTTTTTGATTTCTGCGCTAGGATCCGCACATTCACTTCAAAATCATCGCCATTGTGCTTTTATGCCCTTTGCGTACCTAGAGGAGTGTTTTGACGGATTTTAACTTTCCCATCCAGATGTTCTTTTATGCGGACACAGAGTGGTCTACCCGTTTCCCCGATATATTCCTCGCCGCATGCATTACATGAGATCAAGTACATTATACCTGAACTCATGCATTCCCCGTCTCTCCCGTTAGGACAGATCATACAGTTTGCTGAGCTGCACAAACGATCATAGAGACGGTTTCGAACTAACTGGCGGCGTAGGGTATTGGGTGGGATGTCAACAATCGTTACATAGTTTTCAAGACCACTTTTTCTTAAGCACTGTTTAATGGCGTGACTTACTTCATTTGATATGAAGGGCAGCTTAAAGGTAAAGTTATTTTGTGCAGTAAGTAAATAAGTAAGTTACAGTAAATAAGCCTGTTATTTTGATGAGATGGGCACAATACGATTCCGTGTGAACTCTGTGCGGTTGGTGTCCACGTGACATATTTAGTGGAGGACTCATAGAAAGCGGTGAGTGTGCAAAGACTCTGTGTTCAATGTGATTGAAATTTTGGTTCAGCACTTTTTCTGTTTGGTTATGGAGGTGTTTGGCCGTGTAGATTGTAGTCGACTTGACCTTTCCAGGCTCTGAGGAAGGAGAAATCCGCCGAAACGTCAGCTTGTACGTAAGTAAAATAACACCTCGTGTTTGCTGAACAGAAGTAGGAAGAATTATACAATGTAACCATAATCGATAAATATAATCAATATGACAACAATTTTGCTAAATACAGACGATTAAACGATCGTACTTACCGCAGTTGTATTGGTGGCACACATCTTTAATCTGAACACCTATGAAGAAAGATCCGGAAATTTGAAGATTACAATGAAAATAGGCTCTTCGTGACTTGCTCGGGCGCAAAATATCAAGCTAGCATTTTTTTGATCTTAGCACATTAATTGCTCGTTTTTATCCCAGCTATTAAACCAAGGCATTTACGGGAAAGTCCTCACTTCTTTCAGGTTGAATCGATCGCGGAGATTGCCAAGATGGTCACGAACCTCAAGCGACTTGGCCCAGGCATGGGTGAGTACGTCTTCGACAGGGAGAACTTTGAGAGCTAAATATTGGACAGTGTTTGGCAAACTGTATAAGAATTGTCTATGATTCAAAATAATATTCCTATAGAGGTAATGTACAATATTTGTTGTACGTACGTGAAATAAACGTTTGTTAAAATTGTGGTTATCAAATCCGAGTAATGAAATGTTGATTGCTTAGAGGATTCTATTCCGTTGTCTACATTTGACCCAAATGCACTGCGACTCGTTATTACGGAAAAAGTAGTTAACATCTTGGCGACAACACGAGTGATATATAAACGTATCAAGACAATGTGGCCCACATGATTCACATAAGACTCATTCCTTTTTCAGCCATTATTTTGCTGCATTGAGCGCTTTTAATTCTACACCTTTTTAAATTATTTGATAGTTTGTCCTATATACGTTTCGAATGGAAATCATCCAAGAAAACCTACATCCTGTCCCTTCTTGAGCCCTCAAGCAGCTTCATATTGGTGATGGAGATGCTGTTTAAAATTCTTGCTTAAGTAAATGAAAGGAGTTCAACACTTTCTTTACGTCTTTCCATAAGCAGCTTCTGGTCTTCGACCACCTGTTACTTTATCTGCCAGTCATGTGAGGAGAGGATTTTATTGGGAATATTTTCGTTATACATAGCTTGTTTTGTTTTTCTTGGACGATGACAAGAGCTCTTTTCCAGTTTATAGCTGAATTAAACCTTCGCACAGAGAATCCGGTGACCAGATGCAGTACAGGATCAAGGTACTACTGAGGTGTTGAAGAAGCGCCACTTCCTGTTCGTTAGAATATGGTCCCTCCCAACGGTTTACCGCCTCATCGTAGCTGAAAGGCGTTCCTAGGTGTCGGACTGCAATATATAGCGGAGGGATTCACCTTCCCGGCAAGGTCTCCCAAGCTGAGAAGGGTTCCGGCTTTTCGATCAGGAAGCCCAGCTAAGAGTAAATCATTACCAGGATCCACCACCGTCCTGGTATTAAATTAGTCGCATGGTGAAAAATCTCTCTCTGATCTACAAGGGCTGCGGCTGCCTGTGGTGGTGAAGACCTGGGGCACGTTTTGGCCAGGCTAACCTAGGGATTCCAGGAAACTACAACAGTTTAACCAACAGATCTCCGAAAAAATAGAGATTATGTTTCAGCCCGCACAACCAGTGAGGACGGGCCGTCAAAGTATCTATGTAATTAAGAATATGGTCGATATTCGCTTGGGTCGTGCTGTTAGAGGACTCCCATGTCCATCGTCCTCTTCTCGAGAAATGTTGCCGTGGAAGAGGCGTGCTATAGACAGGAGTCATACGAAAAGTTTTTCATTTACATTTCAATCTCCAATTTCGAATTTTTTTAGTATGTATCCATTTTCCTTGACCTGCTTTGGCACTGAACTCTCCAACAACGAGTTTATAGAGGAATTTGTTGTTGCGGATTACTTCCTCCAAGTGCTTTAAAACGCGTCTAGTTCGATCACTTGTACAGATTGGTGAGTACCACGACGATACTGGCCTTCATTTGACGCACACGTTCGAGACGATTGATGACGTTTCGTGGTGACAGGATTTCATCTGAGGTAGATGGGAAGTAAAAGGGTTTACGACAGAGTCAACACCTCTAATATTTCGTAACGAACATTTTCCTCCGCGAACGACAAGGATTCCGTCATCTTGTTGGAGTTTTTCAGGCTTGTTTGTTTCCGTTATCACAAGGAATTTGATGACAACGTCGATCTCAAAAGGGGCGCGAACGTCGGAATCTGAAAAGACTATTCTGAGAGCAAGAATGTAAAGTAAGAGCTATTTGATTTACAGCCTACAATTTAAAATTTATACATATACATATCTCCAACAAATAAAAGGATAAAAAGGATAAAGTTTTCAGTGTTGGTGAGCCTGGGACGCGGTATCGAACCTATTCCAACACATACCTCGACACTAAAATCTACTAACAATTGTGGTAATAGCAATAAGATCGTGCAACTCTTGTTTACAATGAAAATCGGCAGTGGTAATTCAGAGACCACTCATTCGTGGCCGGAAGCAGTTACAATCCTTGCATAACTTTCAATCCTTACAAATATCAATTTTTGAAAAAACTAGTAATTTTTTACAACATAAAGGAGGAATTAGACAGAAGAAGGAGAGTAGCTTGGGAGCCGTGTTGTTGCGCGAGATGCGAAGTGGGCGGTGTCGAAGCAGTTCGACCTCCAATAAAACGCAGGTAAACGTCCATCGTGAAACCACTTATCGAGGTTTACTGCACGCGCTCATTATATATCGTTCATGCGTTCAACGGCCATCTCTGAAGGATCCGCCGGAGGAACAACCCTGTTTTCCTAAACAAAACTGTGTCTAATTTATGAACAGAGAGAAATTTGCACACTACTTGCTGGTTCTTTATATAAAAGACATGCAGGAGACCCGTTTGATCACTAGTGTCGTAGAAATGCTCCTACCAGTTGCAGTCTTCAATAATTTCTGCTTTTGACAAGCTGAAGACGGAGTCACCTTATTAACTGTTGCATAGTGATATCCTTCTTATGTTTCCAGCTCAATTACGAACAGTTCACCCTCTAACCTCGGTTGGGAGGTGCGCCTTGGTGTCGAGCTGTGATGTGCAGCGAGAGGTTTATCTCCTAGCTAGGTTTCTCGAGTTGAGAAAGAGTTCAGCGTTTTAATCTGGAAGCCCAAATAAGAGTAAACCAGTACCACGAATCACCACCGTTCTAGTATCAAACTATTCACATGGTGGCAAACCTCCTTCAGATCCACAAAAGCGGCGAATTCCTGTTGTGGTGACGGCCTGAGGAAGGCTTCGGCTAGGATGAACTTGGGTCTCTAGTGAACGACGATGGATAAGCCAGCTAACATTCGGAATGGAAATTATGTTGGGGCCCGCACATCCAGTGAAGACAGGACATCGAAACATCTAAGTATTTCCACTTCAAGATAGTTATACTGCTTAGGTTTTGCTGCGCTACCAACTGTCTACTATTCGTTTTCTACAGAGTGACTCGATTTAGAAGTGCTCCACTTCTTTTCCTACGTATAAGAAACCGTCACAGTGCTTGATTTAACTAAGTAAATAAAGCGCTATATTTTCAGAAATAGCTGTTTAGTGTTGATGCTTCGACACTCGTGCCTCTTCCCTCTGTTCTCTTCCTGAGCACACGTTGGTTGCTGTTCCAAACACGTTTCCTACAAGTACCCTTTTTGTGTTTGAGGGGTGAGAGGAGAGGTAATGAACGAGTACGTAGCCTTTTTCTGACAAGTTAATTTCCACGTTTATGGATCGATTATGAAAGATGTTCCTGCGTAACGTGGATCGTCTACGTAACGTACGTCCCAATAGCGGATACGTAATGGAGCCCTTCGAAGTCACAACGCTCTATACAAACGTGTCGAGTGATTCCGTTATGCCAGCCGTCCGCGATCTCTTTATACAACACAAAGGAGGAATAAACATGCATAGCTTCACGGTTTGGCTGTCGATGACACCCTTGAAGGAGTGCCTAAACTGCTTTAATTTTCAAATGGTCCGGGAGGTATTAAGCACAAATGAGACGGTATGATGTGAAATGTAACGACGATGCTGAGCTATTTGCAAAATTCGTACCTCGGGCCAGTAGTGTATTGTGTAATACACAAGCGTCCTGAAAAGGTAATCGTGGCCCGATTTAACTCGGGGTCCAGGTTTTGCAAATGTCTCAGCATCGCTGTGGTTGTATTTTACATCATACCCTGTCGCGAAAATTTATAATAGGTAGCAAATAAAACGTTAATATTATAAGAAAAGTAATTCTTTGCTCTTAGTTGCCCGACGTGTGAATATTCTACCGTCACAAATGTGCCATAAATATTCGCGTGAACAAGTTTACTTTACGACTTAAGCGTCGGCTCGTTTTTATAATATTTATTCATTATTTTCATTTTTACACGACTCGTCAGCACTTTTGTGAGGGCCCCAGCACTTTTCACATTCGATTTGTTTTCCTCGCATTCATCGTCCACAATGGTCTTCGAACATTTCGAATGTTGGTTCGACTGCGGCTTGAGGAGTTCATCTTCTTCATGAATGTTGTAGAATTCTGGTCGAGTAAATTTTACTTGCAGTCTAGGAAATATCCGGGCTAAGACGTTGCCACGTGGATTGGAGAAGAGCGTAGGAGAGGCGACAGAACTACCACCTTTGCTTCTTTTGCTTGTAAAAATTGTAAAAACAACTGGACTTTCGCTGATAATAAGAAGGATAACGCTCTCAGCGTTGATTAATCCCTGAGAGATGCGCCATGTATTCGACTTCAATAAGCATCGTTTGGAGGTGATTGAATGCATATCTGGCCTCTACAATGGCTCGCGGTGGACTACTGATGTATCGAGTCAGTACTACTATCCTCTCAGGGAAGTCTGGTAGCAATTTGCCCACCGGTAAGGATGGAAGGCTTGGTGGGCCGGGGTGCGGGGATCGATGCCATGTTTGTTGTAGGGTACTTGCGACCACTGTGCCACACGCTTCCTGATCACTAGAAGTAAGCAAAAATCCAAAGATGGACAGCAAAGACGAATGCCTCACTATCACACGTGATCCGTCGCCTTATTTCAAAATGATTTTTTTGATCGCGTTGGGTCTCGCTCGCCATCCTATGTCCCAGGTGAACATAACGCGGGCAGTCCCACTCGTAGCAGCATGATGAGTACTTTTTGATAAATATGGTGTTCATCGCTATCTTCAGTGTCGTGTTGATCCGAGTCGATTGTACCTACTTGGTCATTGCTGCGAACTGAATGTTCGTAGTTCCATCGAAAGGAATCCACTTGATGGCAACGCTGCTCGAATGGGGTTTTAGCTTTTCCTTTAAATATTAACCTCGAGTTAGTTAAGTCATGTAAAAAACACTGACTATTCTTTCGAGATCTAGTGAAAATCGGTTCCTTGCATACAAAAACATTTTGCGGAAGGGAAGAAAAGAAGAAGAAAGCGAAGAGAAAACAAGAAAACAAAAGGAATACCGTATCGATAAGAACAGCGTCGCTAGAAGAATTTAGAAAGAAAACGAAGTATAAAGTTGTACGAGATTAAAATTTACTTCTTTCCGAGTTAACAAATCCGAGTTATGAAGCAGATTAGTTGGCATTTCCTTTGCGATAGTTACTTAGTTACTTGGATACTTGCACTCCCCGTTCCCGCGGGTAGCGCGGCCCCACCATGTTTTTCGCTCTTGTACGCGGCCATCCTCGGATACTCTTGGCTACGATCAGTGAAAGAAAAGCTTCGTCCAAAAGTTAAGGGGTGTACAATGCCTCCTACGACGGGCCGGAGACAACGAGGGAGGTGCGGTGCCCAGCAGTGTGACAGTTTCAGTTTCCTGTACGAGCTCTAATTACTTGACAAGTGATTCTTCGCAGAACTGTATTCTAGAACATAACGACACCCATGTTCTCATCCGGAACGACCATTTCTATGAGCTCATAAAAGAATGCGGCAATGATAAAGATCAGAATGGGTTGTTTAAAAAATGCGGCAGATCACAGGGGAGCATGGAATCAACAAGAACGAGCACACTCTTTTACAGGTCAGTGTCGTTAGCAAAGTCGTTATTTTCGCGCTATTTTCGTCCGCTCCACATCTTCACTCTTTATTTCTATTTTTTGCTCTACAACACTATTTTATCATAAATTGAATGCTTTATCCAATAAATCTTCATATTATCACCGTATCAGGTCGACTTTGTCAGCAAATTTTTTTCGTCCGTCTATTACAAAGTTGTTACCATGCCAGATTGAACAGCTATCAACCTTTCCGGTAGCCCAAGAGTCACGCACAGCTCCACCGAGGTCTTCGTTCTGCCCTTTTCTGAGCCAGAATTTCAACCCTAATGCTGCCACCAGCAATCACCCGTCAACGAAATGATTTTTTGTTGTTATATGACCCGGCATCTCAAATGTTTTGCACTCTACGGATACCAGCACCTCTTGTATCCAATTTGTTTCCTCGCATTCACAAGGTTTTTCGAGCTTCCTACGTCGAATCTTCTGCTGATGGATTCCTTCGCCTTCATTCCAAATGTCGCTGAATGCTTGTAGAGTCAATGCTTTCTGGAATCCTTAGCTAGCGATATTGCAGCGGCATTCTCTCGTGGAATGGAAGGAGTCAGTTCGGCTCGAGCTAGAGTGTGTCAACAACTTTTCGACTCCTCGGGCTGAGAGGCTTGTTTGGTTCTGATGGGCTCGTAGGCTGGACTGTTCGCGTAGTGAGCGGGACCACTATTACTGTGTCATTCTCTCACTACAAACTAATTGTCACAAACAATAAGTACCCTCTAGCTTTTGTCGATTTTCTATTTTCGATTCGACTTTCTATAAATATCGCCATTAACAGTTAACATATGTAATTCTCACGAACTCTCGTTGTTTAGCTGGCGTGAAGATGACATTAGTTACTGTTATCAAATCTGATTCTTTTCTGCTCGTTTTTGTTTCTCTAGTGCAGTCGTGTGTCACTGTAAATACAATATCTTAGGGAGTCGGTCTCGCGAGGTCAATATGATAACCAAAGAACATAAATTAGAACTGAATCAATAACTCAGATGAAGGAATCTTAATCGATTATTTGGTGTTCATATTTTAACATGAGACCACTGTATTATGATGGCGGTTAAGGTTGTATTATAAACAGCGTTTTCTCTCCCAGTAACGACTTTCGTTAAACGTTTATTGTCATCGTTTTGAATATCAAACGCTTGTGTAGTTGCATAAACCCTGGAAGCAGCTGCTGGATTTGGGGCCATTGCAAGCGCCGCATGGTGTACCGTTTTGGTAGATTGGAACGCCAACTTTGAGAGGCCTAAGTGAGATACGAATTGAGTTGTATCAAAAAATTGATATAATTAAGTGACTTACGGAGGTCCATATTCACAAACGAATGGCGTGAATTCAACACCCGACTCATATTTGCAACCTTGGTAGAAGGCGCATCCGACTTGGGTCATATTTCCAATAATTAGCTAAAAATATCTCTTCAGCTTATAATATCGATGGTTGAACATCCTCGCTGAAGTGAACACTGTGGAATTCAAGACATAAAAAGCCGTCGCAGATCTCATTTGCGAACCTTGCTGATTGTCTTTTGAAGCTGTCGAAGGTCGACTGCAACGCGCTTATGCTTTGAGAAAGACGCATAGTCTTTGTCATTCATGCATATCCATCACCGTCTTTCCAACCATTGATTTTGAGGTTTGCAAGCAAAACGTGGCCACAACTAACCTGAAGTCCTGGGATTTTTGCTGCGTTGTTTTCCGAAGGCGTTAGATTCACCAGAGAATCATTCCCGTTATGTAGCGTATCCATCCACTTCAATACCGCCTAGAAAGTGCAGTACTGAAATTTCTTGAGCTTAATTCACTAAACTCGATTGTCTAATGATGCAAATGAAAATTGTTTTATGATTTGCATGACGTCTATAGTATTGTATGTACTTTTTGTTGTTTGTATTTTGCTCGCCCACCTGGCCGACGGTGAATTTGGTGACAGGTCCAGTAGTAGTGTAATTGTTGCTCCCTGTATACTGAAAGTCTAGACGGTTTCCAGTAGGACATGACTTGGCTATTTCGTAAGCCTTCTTCTCTAGTTCACAGTCCCATGACTATAAAATCAAATTTAAGCACTTATCGTCTTTAGCGAATAAACAAGACATATTTCATTCTAAAAACGACATTCACCAGAAGACTCATATTAAAGGCCGTTGGAAATTCGTATGGATCGGGAATATATTCTCTAGTAGTCCTAGCGTTTTGTAGAATCCATCTGGAAAAAAAAGACTTTGCATAGAAGCCTCATAGGTGGAATCCCACTCTGCCACACAGCATGGTAGAAGCTACGTCTTCCGATAAATTATTCATGCTTACCTCATTGCATTGTGATAGTAGAAAGATTCCTGCCTTAGGTCTTGAGTCATAGTTGTCGACTTATCGCATGTTGAAGCAACGCCTGCAAAAAAGGAGAAATCTCCAAAGAAAGGGGCCACATAACGATTTAAGGTAAATATCAAACGTGAATAAATATGGACGCGCCATAGGTGTATGGGTAGGGGGCTTGCAAGCGTTCCTAAAACAATTTGTACAATTCCCTAGGTTAGTGTCAAAGTTTTATCGTCGTCTGTAGTCAAACGTACCGCAGTGACGTGAACAGCAACAGTGAGCAAAACGACGAACGGACTGTTCATCATCATCGAATGGTTATCCTTTGAAGTCGTTCGTTTATATACGAATTTCACCGGATTTTTTTTCTCATTTTGGCGCTGATATAACGTGGGTGGTGGTTTTTGTGACAAAGGCGCTTTTATGAATATCCAATTTCCGCCCTTTTCTCCGTTACCGTACCATCCATTTCATTGCCACGAAATGAATAAAACGCCAAAAATTCTAGGGAAAGTCTCAGTCGGCATGTCCGATGAAGGTGGTACGTGCTACTTTATCTAAGCTGATGGTAGTGATTAAAAGTGCATTTGTTCATGAGGAGTTTTGTAGCAATTTGTTATGAAAAGGAAAGCAATTCTAATGAGAAAAGTTAGGACGCTATTTTCATAATGTTGTGCCTTGATCCAGTGCCTAAGGTCTCAAATTTAACAGTTCTACCCACGTTTGTTCCTTGGAGACACATTGTAAAGGAATGTCTTCCATTTACTCTTGGAGTACAAAAATTACCAACTTTGGTCCCCACTTTGAAATAGGAACGATCGATTCTATTTTAATCGAAAGAAAAAGTGAAAGAAGTAATATCTGAGATTGGATTGCTTTGTTGCATTTCTATTTGAAGATAGTATTTCCTGTCAATCGATTTCACAAAAACGGATTTCTTGACGGCAACTTGACGATGTACACCAACCGCGATGATAAATTTACATTGTTTATTTCCGCCCTTCTTTTACATCTCCTTCTATGCATTCCTTCGGTCTCTACAGGTCTCTACATTACGGTACTTGCATAAGTTATTTCCGAACGACTCTTGAGATTTCCACGAAAATGGTGTTCATAATTAATAAGAAACTGTGAATACCATTGATTTAGCACCATTGGTTATACTGTTGTTGAATGGTGATTTTTTGTATCAATTCTCCTGCGGTTCCAGATGAATGGAGAACAAACGTTGAAGCACATTGCACATCTGCGATGCTGACTGCGTTTGTCACAGTAAACGAAAGACTCAATATGGCCAATTTTGTTGAGAGTGTCGAAGACCGTGTCGTACTTATCTACCTCTTCTAGAAGCACTTTTCTGCCTTGATTCATAATAAAAGAAGAGAAATGCTTAAGTCTTTAGCATCAATGAGAGTGTCTCTATGTTATATTAAGATACAATAGATGTTCACCGCTGTGTTTAATTGCTGGTTCGTTTCTACGGTAATTTCTACTGGAACAGTTCGCGCAAAAGTGCTCTACGCAATACCGTTTGCCCGCAATACCGTAATTGGAGTTTTATCGTTCGTGGGCGTGAATGCGCCTCTAAATCGTTTCGCGCGTGGTTTTTCCTCTAAACGCGGCTTTCGTAGCAAGCAACAGTTTCGTATCCATCTGACATGGGAATTTGCCACGTCAGGTTGAGTGATTCCTTTTGATTTTTTGACCTTTTGATGATTTTGCTCCTTTCCTGTGCACACATTGGTGGCAGCTCGAAACATCTTCTTCATAAACCCCATCGTTGTGTTTTCACGATGAAAGGAGGTGTAATGTACTGCCATGTTCTTGCTATTGATTTTCTGCATGATGTTTATGATGTAGTCGCTATGGACAGGTTTGTTTTTGAATGTTTAAATTTGAAAGCCAGTCCTTTCGGTTCCTCTCAGGTGAATTTCCAAGAAAGTTTTGTATAAACTTCTATGAATTGCTTTGAAATATTCCTACCTTAATGTTACACTTTCTACCATGTGATTTCATTGTAACCAATTCTAATCTTCAAGTGTTGCTTTGAGTTGCGCATTTGCTGTTGAAAACAACCAGAAATAATTCAGTTATGCTGATGATTCTTCAAATGGTTGCCAATAGAAGCAGATGCCAGAAGTAGCTGGATTCTGCCCTAGTAAGTCTACGATATAATAAGTTTTTACGAAAGCACTGCTTTCTTGATCGGCAGGCACGTGGTTGCTATAACAATTTATTCATCATGGCTAGCCTTCCGGCTGTTTCGCCTTCTTCAGAGCCTGGAATGGTAACATTAACACGAAATATACTTAGTCAGACACTTTCGTAACGTCAGTGAATGAAGTTTGATATCTAAATTTTATTGAGTTCGAGTAAATCGTATGTCGTTTTTGCCTTAGCTTTCCACGATCTGTTGAGGGCGAAACCGTGCAAGCGTCTGCTATTGGGGATAAATTGTTGTAGTGACTTCGTGTCCGCTTATCGATATAACAACAAATTATTGATCAATCCTGAGGTTAATAGAAAGTCTGTCCTGGATTGTGATGAGTGCAGCTTTAACTTGAGCCATGTCGATCAGAAAGCAATTTTTAAACTGTTATTACGCGCTTTTACTACACTTTTTCATGCTAACGTAGCCGTTCCGTGTAATGATTATGCCACGGTATGAAGGGCTGGGCTAGAATACTACCGTTTATCGCTTGCCTTAAGCTCGGCGTAACCCGTTGGAGTCCACTAATAGCAGTGTGCTCTTTTTGTTGTTTCTCGCTCTATAATTCCCTTTCTCCTACTCTTTTTTGTTCATTTTGCTGTTTCCTCCTCATGTCCATCCTCTATGCATTTCTGTTCACTTTTTCGTTTTCGGAACTTTTAAATTGTTGCTCATGGTGAGTCAGGAGTCACTCAAGGGTTTTGGAACCTTACTGGCGTAGTATCAATGAATAAGGAACTCGAAATTATATCTGATCAACTTGTCTTGCAGAGTGATAATGGAGATGTTGCTGATGGCACGGAACACAATGTGAAATCATTTATACTCCTTGTAGATGTTGATTGGAGATGATGAATCAAAACATGTCGGATAAAAGGACTGTTGATGAAACCATGTATCGATTATCGATCAGTGGTTATGCCTAGTGGTATTTTGCTAAGGCTTACTAGTTGGTAACGGGCATTAATGAGAGGTGTAGAGTGCTGTTCTTACACGTAGTTTTGGTGAGCATCTTAAAGATATAGTACGTTAGATTGGATCTTATAGCAAATTTCCAAAATATGGTGATAACAGTTTTACTACAAGACGTGCTAGGTAGGTTCGCACAAGGTGTAGCGATGCAGGAAACGTCTTTTATGCTGATTCATGTGGGTCGTGTGAAATGTATTTGATATGGAAGACGTAGAACTTTTATGGCAAAAATTTCAGAGTTTGATAATATACACAAATAAAGGATTGCGGTTTCTGCGAAGAAAGATCGTAAATAATGATTATACACTATATCTTGGAGATATATTTTGCACATTACTGTAGATAGATGGGCGCGTGTGGCGCAATGGTCGGAAGCGCTCTGCAATAGACATGGAATGATCGATCACCGCGCCCATGGCTCAGCAATCCTTCCATTCTTCCAGGATCGGCAAACTGGTACCAGACTTATCTGGGAGGATAGCAGCTCTGGTTCGATACATCGGTGGGCCACCGCGTGTCATTGTAAAGCTCAGATATGCATTCAATCACCTCCAGCGATGCTTAGTGAAATCGAATGCATGGCGCATCTTGCAGAGATTGATCAACGCCGAGAGCTTTATCCTTTTTTTTACTGTAAATAAGCATAGCAAATTCTGTGCGAGAGGCATAGTTGTTACCTCCTACTGTGATTAAACCAGCTGTTGGTAGAAGCTCATTGACCAGGAATATAACCTGCTATCCAAAGTGGGCGACCAAATTACCAAAAATTAACGTTTTTCGCTGTAGAAAAAACCTATGTGAAAAAATTCTGCAATGTAATTGTAGATTTAAAAAAATGCAGTGTCATTTCACCATGTGGAACCGATTCGTCTGCGTAGAAGTGCGTGGCTGCATTGAATTGTCATGTGAAGTGTCTATTAAATGTGGCATTGTTTGCTATTTTATGAAAGTAATTTTGTAAATAGATTGAATATTTATGGATCATGTTTGATTAAATATGACACTTTTTGTTATTTGAGCTATTTCGAAGTGGCTGGTTTCGTAGCTCCACTCCGTCGCGCTGAAGTGGCTCTGAAAATTTTCATTTCATATCTGTATCAAGCCCATTGATTAATTCTCCAAGTGAAAATTCGCTTTATAGTCACGTGTCTACTCTTTGTAAAATATTCCCCTTCTTATAAACTACACTTAGAACTCTAGATTAGTGCAATTACAAGCCTCTTAGCTAGTCGATCACATTTAGAGGTAGCCATTTCCATTCAGACTCCTCCCAGAAACATCTTATCTGAGATTGTTTCATGATTGGGTAGGATAGAAAAGTCAACTTAAAGCTTTAAATTTTTTGAGTGAATTTAGAAGGGTTAAAAACTAAAAACACTTCGTTATTTCATTTAAGTGCCGTTGGTTTTTGCTCCAAACGAACTTCTGAAAAACGCTTAAAAGCTCGTCTTAATAGTCTCTGCTAGTATTTTTATATGAAACGTGTAGACTGTTTTATCGAGAAGTTCTAATAAGATTGAGATCGTTTCGATGCTGTCAAATGCTTCTCGTTGTCGATAATGGTTAGAACAGAAAAAAAGTGGCTCTCTCATCGGACTTCTATAACTTGCGCCACGATTCTAATGTGGCCCGTGTAACAGAATCCCTTTCGAAATTCTGCTTCCTGGACTCACCATACTGGATCGCCAAAAATCGCAACTCCAAAATTGGGTAATTAGACAGCTTGCAACAACGACAACACAGTAGTAGCCATATGCCGGAACTAAAACAATGCATGAATTTTACCTTCTACATTGTCCGTAAGCACTTGGTCATTTTTCGCTTGTTCTTTCATTTCTGATTATAGTTTCATCTTTTTCTCCAATTAACTGATAGGAAGACGGAACGATGGAGTCGCTAAGAAAGGTATCTTCCTCTGATTCAAATCAGTGTGGAAACCTGGAAACACCCTGGCAAGGTTAAGTCAGATCTCCACGCCAGGAAGGATCAACTTGCCTAATCAAAAATAGTTCTGCCTCAGTACCCGCACCCTGGGTGCTCTCCACTATGATATCTAGCTGGTCAGAAAACAGGTGGGAGCCCACAAAATCTCTGGTTGCTCAACACGTCTCTGAGGTGGACGAACACAAGCGCGGTACGCCTTGGGGATTGTTTCCTAATCTGCACGTGTAATACTAAAACACTTCTCGGATGCCGATCTTCCTTTCCTTGTTAAAGCAGCAGGTCGAATCAAACTTCGTATGATCGCCCTACAAAAAATAAAAACCTTGGGAATCGACATACTCAAACTAAATAATTAGACAATTATCATCTGCGGAAAAAAAATTCCCGTTAGAAAAAGTCGGTGGTGTAAGGATTTTCGTCCTCTTTTCATTACCCATCTTCTCGACATGGCCCTCCTTCGTCTTCAATTAATGCGTCATAGAAAGATCGCTATCATCACTTTCTAGTCAACGACCTGCATGGTTGATGAGCACGAATTAGATGTGTCCTACTATCAGTTAGAAGAACTTGTCCGCAATCGTAAAGCGTATTATAGATTTGTAAGAGAACAGGAAAAGGGAGAAGGCATCAATGCCAGAATAGAAAAGGGAAACGAGATCGAACAAAAAGACGAAAATTTTGGATTAAGTGAAAGAAACGAGAATGGAAACCATCTTACAAGACCCTTGTCAGCAGCGCATCTCTTTCATTAAAACTGCTTTTTTCCAGACAAAGAGAAGATGATGCCTGCTTGAAATATCGGTAGTCCCATTATTCGCTATGGTTCCAATCACTGCCTTTTCGCGCGATAATTCGATATAGTGGTAGCCTGAAAAGAAATTTATATCATTCACGAAAACCAGGTCAGCTGTTAATGATAACAATATTTCTTCAATGATGCTGAGATATTTGCAAAACACCGGACCGCAGGTGTATGCGGTGGGGAACGAACGCGCTATTGCCCTTTCCGGGGAGTAGCGCGTTCACCACCACACCACGCGGGTCCTTCGTTCCTGCTGACGGGTGATTGCTGATAGCAAAAGATCGACAGAACTAGCTGAGAAAAAGGCGAAACGAAGGACCCGCGTGGTGTGGTGGTGAACGCGCTGCTCCGCGGAAAGGACAATACCGTTCGTTCCCCACCGCATACACCTGTGGTCCGGAGTTTTGCAAATATCTCAGCAACATTGAAGTTATATTTCACAATGTATACCCTGCCGTTAAAAAGGGTTGGTAGTAAATAATAAGTTAAAAATATTTCTTTTTGCAAAATCCTACCCGATAACAACCGGTAGATTGGGGAAGAGCCAACCGAAGATTGTCAAGGGTACTGTCGAAGGACCTAAAAGAAATGGGAAATTCGTCTCAGTCCCTCAAGAATATCATACCTCATTTATAATAGCGTTAAAGATCTCGCCCACTTTTCCACCTTTCGTTACGACAAAGCCTTTTTAACTTTAATCTTTAGTGTGTAAGGACAACAGACAAACCTGTAGCCGCCAAGGAATTCGAAGAAACAAACCAAATTGCACGAAAATCTTTTTTCGCAAAGTATTGTGCAATAAGAGCCTCTTTCCTTGGCATTATCTGTATACAAAACCTCTGTTCGACAAATTACCGAGTATTTCTAAAAACCATGAAAACAAGGTTGTGTTTGTTGTGTTGTTTGGTGAACTATACTGGCTAAGCCCGTGTGTATTGAAATCAATACATATGATCTAAACCCCCCACCAGTGTACACATTGAAATAAGAACGCGAGGTGGTTAACGGTCTTCCTCGCTAACAGTGCTTCTACTATTTGTTAAAGGAAACCGCGTAAGGGTAGAAGACAGTTGTTTAGTGAGCATGCGTGACACAACGCATTCGTTTGATAAGATGCTAACTGAACACAAGAAATATGGCAAAATAGCCTATATATTGTAATCTACTCGTCTTTCGTGGATGCATACTTGCAACTTACGCCTAAAATAATCGAAGCACGTACAAAATTCAAAAAGTTAATTCCATGTTTTTCTATAATGTATATATATTTATTTATGTGATCTTATAAACTGATCTTCTTAAGCTGACACGAGGTTGGTACAGATCTTCGTTGTCGTTGTCGTTGTTTTTGATGTTATTGATCGATGGCTGACGTTTCGGCGACTTCGCCTTCCTCAGAGTCTGGACGTACTTTATGTTAGAATACTTTTTATTATTCGGTGGAAAAGAAGGTTAAAGTACTAATGAAGATCAAACTTTCAAATAGACGCCATATTGAACAGAAAGGCCACTCACCGTGATGTTACGTGCGGAACTGGCCCACACGTAGTTCACGTGGAGTCGCGAGTAAGGCATGCCCAGGGGTCAAAATATCATTTTGAAATAGGGCGCCAGGTCATGCGTGATAGTGAGGCATTCATCCCTCCGGTTCATCTTTGGATTTTTGAAATTTATCCAAAACGCCTCAAGAGTTTTGCGCGTTGATGTTTTTGACTCCTGCGCTAGGACCCGCACATTCACTTCAAAATCATCGCCGTTGTGCTTTTGTGACCTATGCGTACCTAGAGCGGTGTTTAAACGGATTTTAGCTTTCCCATCTAGATGCTCTTTCATGCGGACACAAAGTGCTCTACCCGTTTCCCCGATATATTCCTCGCCGCATGCATTACATGAGATCAAGTATATTATACCTAAACTCATGCAATCCCCGTCTCTCCCGTTAGGACAGATCATACAGTTTTCTGAGCTGCACAAACGATCATAGAGACGGTTTCGAACTAACTGGCGGCGTAGGGTATTGGGTGGGATGTCAACAATCGTTACATAATTTTCAAGACCACTTTTTCTTAAGCACTTTTTAATGGCGTGACTTACTTCATTTGATATGAAGGGCAGCTTAAAGGGGATCCTACTTTCGTCTGAAATATTATTTTGGGAAACTACCCAACGTTTTCCTCTAACCCGAGTTGGTTCTACTTCGTAGCCATTGGAAATGGCAATTTTTCGTGCCAGGCTTCGCGATTCCTCCCTTTCCTCTTCTCCCGTGCCCACTTTCTTAGCCGTACGATACATACTTTTGATAAGTGCTTTTTTCATGTGTGAAGGATGAGAGGAGAGCCAGTGAACTAGAATGTTTTTACTACTTGGCTTGCGATACCATTTTCTTACATACTGAGAGCCACTTACTGAGAGCTTTATTTGGTTGTTTAAGAATGGAAGCCAGTTCTCGGTAGGTTTTTCTCGTGTAAATTTTATATACACTGACTGTTGGTTTAATAATTCAAAGCACTCATCCATCTGTTCTTGTGTGGAACAGACGATGAAGCAGTCGTCTATGTATCGACAGTAGAGTAAGGGTCAGTGATCGAGAACTGCAGCTTCCACCTTAGACAAAAAATGATATTTTGACCCCGGGGCGTGTCTTGCTCGCGACTCCACGTGAACTACGTGTGGGCCAGTCCCGCTCGTAACATCACGGTGAGTGGCCTTTCTATTCAATATGGCGTCTATTTTAAAGTTTGATCTTCATTAATACTTTAACCTTCTTTTCCACCAAATAATAAAAAGTATTCTAACATAAAGTACGTCCAGGCTCTGAGGAAGGCGAAGTCGCCGAAACGTCTGATCAGTAACATCAAAAACAACGACAACGAAGATCTGTACCAACCTCGCGTCAGATCAGATCAGTTTATAAGATCACATAAATAAGCTTCAATAACACTTGCCAAAAGACGAAATACTCTATGGAAATTACATGATCAACACCTTCTCGAAAAACCCACCGCTTTTTTTCGTGATTTCCAATGAGGAAGCTTAGAACAGCTGATTATAGTCGCATATGGTTGACGACTGCACAATCCCACATCAGAAATCGGTGCGAACATACGGGGTCAGGTCGCGTATGACCTCTGGGCATTCATCCCTGTTATTTATTCATTGTAGGGTTTTGGCATTTATCCAAAAAGCCTCAAGAAGTTTTCGCGCTGGTGTTTTAGTCTCCTGTGCAAGGAAATTGACTTTTACTTCAAAATCGTCTCCGCTATGCTCTTGTATCCTATGCGTGCCTAGTGGGATGCTTCGTCTTAGTTTTCGTTTGCCATCTAGGTGTTCTTTTATACGGATACACAAAAGTCTGCCCGTTTCGCCAATGTATTCATCTCCGCAATTATTACAAGAGATCAGGTTTATCGGACCTGAACTCATGCAATCACCGTCCCTGTCGTAAGGGCAAATTACGCAATTTGTCGTTTCACATAGACGGTCATACAGGCAGTTACGAACTAAATGACGACGTAGAGCAGCCGGTAATATTTCAACTATCGCTACCGATTCCTCTAGACCTGCCCTTCTTAAGCATCGTTTTATAGCTACGCTTACTTCATCGCTTATAAAAGGCAACATAAACGGGACTTTCTTTTGGCGAAGTGTTTCGCATGAGCGCGTCGCTCTCCTTTTAAACTTATCTCGTGGGGTTACTATTTCGTAAGGCGAAGACACTACCACCATCTCCTTTCCTAAAAACGTTCTTTAGACAGCAGGACCCTAACGATTGAGTTGACATAAAATTCCGCGCGTTTTCGGACGGCGTTCTCAAGACCCTTGAACACTACCGCGATAGAAAGTTTATCTCTAACCTTACAGCCGCACAAAAATGTGGCAAGCGGGAAATTAGAGAGTTAATAAACTCGAAAACAATACGATTGTCTGTTAGTGATAAGGGGGGAGAGTTCGTAGTTATCCCTCGCCAGCTGGATGTTGAGATAACAGAGGAACATCTTAGTGATGCTACTCTCTATCGCCCATCCTCTGAAAAGGAATATAAAAGTCAATACCGAAAGCTAAACAATCAATGGGTCAGCGTGGCAAAGGCTGCGGGCTTAAAATCATCGGTTATTTCGCACTTTAAAATCGATAGACCAATATGTTCTGTCCTATACCTACTTATTAAAACACATAAGTTGGTATCACCTGATGATCATGCGTCAACCAATCCGTCATCATTTAAGGTTAGACCGATCATCAACTGTGTAGACGGGCCAACGGATAGAATAACCTGGTTTTTAAGCCTGATACTTACCCAGTTGCTTAACCACATTCCAGCTCACCTCACAAACACCCAAATGTTCCTAGAACGTCTACGTAAGCGTCTCCTAATAACGCGTACGTGATGGAGTCTCTCGACGTTACCGCACTGTACACCAACGTATCGAATGACTCCGCAATGCAAGCCATCTTCGAACTTCTTGTTGAACATGAAGGAAGAATAAATATGCATGGCTTGTCCATCCTGCAGCAAACGGCTCTCTTAAAGGAGTGCCTAAACTGCTCGATTTTCAGATGGTCTGGGGAAATATTTCGCACAAATAAGGGGGTTGGCAATGGGACAGCGATTGGCGCCAAGCCTTGCCATTGTGTTTATGTCTAAGATAGAAGCCCCTGTCTCGATCTCCGGCCACTACTCTACTGCAGATATGTAGATGATTGTTTTGTCGTCTTCTCTACGCAGGAGATGGACAAATGCTTTGAATTACTGAACGAGCAGTCCGAGTACATAAGGTTCACCCGGGAGAAACCGAGGAAAAACTTGCTTTCGTTTTTGGACGTTCAAATAAACCTATCAAATAGCGGTCACCTGACAAAGTGGTATCGAAAGCCAAGTAACAAGAACATTCTTGTTCATTTCCTTTCTTCCCACCCTTCATACACAAAGAGGGCGATTTTGAGAAATATGTTTCGAACAGCCACCTCTGTGTGCACTACCAGGGAACTAAAAGAAGAATCGCTCGACTTGGCTCGGCAAATAGCCATCTCCAATGGCTACGAAATAGTAACCCCACGAGATAAGTTTAGAAGGATAGCGACGCGCCCACGCGAGACACTTGGCCAAAAGAAAGTTCCGTTTTATGTTGCCTTTTATAAGCGATGAAGTAAGCGTAGCTATAAAACGATGCTTAAGAAGGGCAAGTCTAGAGGAATCGGTAGCGTTAGTTGAAATACCACCGGCTACTCTACGTCGTCAATTAGTTCGAAACCGCCTGTATGACCGTCTATGTGAAACAACAAATTGCATAATTTGCCCTTACGGCAGAGACGGTGATTGCGTGAGTTCAGGTACGATATACCTGATCTCTGTATCTACGCTGTATCTGTTCCATCTGGGCGTTAGAGTGCGATCATTTTGATCTTGTAATTGGTGAAGCTTATAAGCGCCCTTTTAGTGTGTGAGGGATGAGAGAAACACTAAAAGGGCGATTATAAGAAATGTTTCGAACCGTCATGAGCGTGTGCATTGGTAGAGAGCAGAGGGAGGAATCCTCGAAACTGCGCGCCAAATAGCCATTTCGAATGGTTACGAAACTGTAGCTTCTCGGCATAGGCGTAGAGGAAAAACCACGCCCCAGAGCGATAATTCTAGCGAAAACAAGGCTCTGTTCCTCTTGCCCTCTATTTCAAATGAAATAAGTGCAGCCATAAAACGTTGCTTAATAAGGGCTGGTCTAGAGAATTCCGTTAGAGTGATAGAAATACCGTTAGACACTCTAAGACGCCAGCTAGTTCGCAACCGCCTATGTGACCGTCTGTGTACGACAAAAAACTGCAT